TTGAATTCTATTTGAATATATTTTACTCCCGTGATGATCATTACTCCAGTCTTCAGTGTCACATGATCCTTCAGAAATCATTCTAATATGCTGATTTGCTGCTCAAGAAATATTTCTGATTATTATCCATGTTGAAAACAGTTGTGCTGCTTCATATTTTTTGTGGAAAGCGTATGCATACTTTTAAAGTTACGAAAGTTATGAACACACATGTGGCATTTTAAGGCAGCATTCAGCAGCAGAGACACGCACGGTTTCTACACTAGTGCACTCAGAGGGAAGGAAACAGCTTTTTTGTGTGAGCCTTCCTTTCAGCACAAAATCGAAGTGACAACACAAGAGTCTCGCACGTCAGTCTACTAGTACCCGTACCCTTGAGATGAATGTAGCTGGCATCATAAATGACTTATCAGGCTCCTCAGAATCTCTCACACGCTGTGTCCATTGAGTTAAAGCTGCGTAGTTTTGTCATCTTTGTCGCCATCTTTGTTCGACATCTGCAATTGACCTATGGCTAAGCCACGCCCCCTCCACTCACTCGGACAAACAGTCAAGATTCGGGGACAGGCGCTATGGCAGCTGTCACATAGGAGACATTTCACAAGAGGCAATTGGTGATTTTTGGATTATATATCATCTCCAAGTCACCTAAAGGGCCTTAAATATGCATTGGAGGGTTAAATGATTAATTTTATTGTTGAGAAGGTCGATGAAAAGCTTCAGCTCCAGGCAAAAATGTACAGGTCACAGTGTAAACGTGATAAACCGTAAGACGCAATGACCCAAAGACAAGCTTGAATCTCCAGCGGAAATCCACCAGTTTAAAAAAGACCTTACCGCTTTGAATCGAGCTACGGCAAGCAGATAGCGTTGGACACTGGCTGGTTGAGTACTTGCCCAAAAATGTATTTGGGATCATTTTAACCCAAAAAAGTTATGAACTGCAGCTTTAAACAGACATGCCATTTCAGAAAAACACAATGCAGTCATGCACTTATTAGCAATAAGTGCATGACTCCTCTTGCATTATGGCATACTTGCTAAGGTATGAATGAGTCAATATGCAAGTGCAAGCACTGAAATGTGTTGCAGTGGTATTTACTGCAATAAATGCAAATGACTTAATTCATTTTTAAGCTCGTTATCAGGAAGGATACAGTTCATCCTCACTGCCCGAGAGCCATTTAGCATGCATGCACATCCACAACAGATAAGCCTTCAGAATCGAATGCATTTACTTCTCTGAAACTTTCCCAGATGCAAGTGATTATTTACATTGCTAAAAGTTCATTTGTGACCTCTTCATAATCCTTTAAAAAGCTATAAAATAGTCGGGGACTTCTTTGACCGCAGCCAGGCAAACATATGTTTGAGATATGACAGGAGCTGCTTTGATTGGGCAATAAATATGTAAATGGACCTGGCGGGATATACTAATAGCTGATTGGTTTTTGAAGATTGGACTTATCCTCAATGACAGGATTTTGTTGGTGGGAAATTGGATGCAGGACGGCACGTTAAACACAATGACACTATTGGCATTATTAGTATGTAGGGTGCACCGCAACGAATGTCATTACCGAGCACACTGTGACAGCTAATCATTCCACTGTTCTGGAGTTACTGTCAAAATAGCTGGAAAAACAAAATTTCAAGGCCAGTGAGTAATGATTCAATGATTTTAGTAATGATTTTTCTTCCTGGCAGACCTATATGCGCACAAATGCAAAGCCACAACATTTTGTCAAATGACAGGGATCATTGCATAGAATTTAACAAACAAAAACAGCAAATGAAATGGTTTGTTTTATTCCTTTTAGTATCAATTTTGGATTCAAAGCGGATTTGAATGTTTTCTGGCATAATAATATGGTGTGGTGGGTGGTTGCCAGGGTGTTATCATGTAGTTGCTGCATTGCTATGCAGTTGCTAGGGTGTTCTTTTTGGTTGCTAGGTGGTTACTTACTGGTCCAAGTCAAAAGAGTCCTGCACCAAGACTCCGGGCTCTAGATATGCCTCACATTTTCTCCCTTAATGGGATTTTTTTTTTCATCTGTTTCATGTTCTGCAGGCAAAAATCAGAAGTATATTTTTGACACACAACTCTGTTTTAGTCAGAACACAGAACTAGAACATAAAAATTCTACCTTAGGGGTCTTCGACAGGGGGTCCGCAGCAGTACCGCAGGGGGTCTGCCAATTATTGTTTGATCTCAACCTAATTTTTATGAAAACATTTAAATACGCATTAAACAAAAATAAAATAAGTCAACTTGAACCAAAGCTAAAGTCCAGCTAAATGTTTCATTGTCCCTCTCACATTAAAATGTGCAATAGTCTGTACATTAATCATTTTAATAGCTTTACAAAGTATGTAAATATATGTGAATATATTAATATTGCACAACACGCATGAAATTTGAAAATTAACTCGAAGTTGCACAGATAACAGGGCATCTTTCTTAAAGAAGTAGTTTTAAAAAACTTTTGCTGATAATTTACTCACCCCCATGTCATCCAAGATGTCCATGTCATTCTTTCTTCAGTCGAAAAGAAATTAAGGTTTTTGATGAAAACATTCCAGGATTTTTCTCCATATAATGGACTTCAATGGGAACCAAACGGTTTAAGGTCCAAAAGACAGTTTCAGTGCAAACTGCTCAAAGGGCTTTAAACGATTCCAGACGATGAATAAGGGTCTTATCAAGCGAAACGAGCAAAACTCTATTGAAGAACGTTGAATTGTACCCAATCCACATCTCATTATCATAAAAACAGATAATTTTGCTTTTAATAGCCCTATTTAAATTGGCCTTGTTGGCATGTGTGGTAGCGGTGTCATTACAGAGCCGCTAATTGACGCTTATTGGAGATAATGAGGCAGCGATTCTCGTATTCTTCAGCGCAGGGCACAGAACGTTAGGCTGACACTAATATCAGCTTTGTTTGAGACTGAGTCTCGACTGACTATGGCCTTCCCGTATCTCATTTATTCATCAGCTTCAAATCATTTGAGAAGGTTGTTAAACAACTTCTATCTACTGTTAAATCAAAAATAGACTTCTCAAGAGCACAATGAGGGATTTACACCCAGGTACCTGCAGTTGGATTTGCAGGCGGTGGCCATCTTATCTTGCTGCTGTAGACTTGAAGGACAGATATGTGTTGAACAGAAGGACACAGCGGGACGAGAAGCGTTCAGGAGCCGGGCAGATGTCAGGGCCGAGGCTGCGGCGCACACTTTTTCTACTTTGCCGAGCTCACAATCAGCTTCCCAACAGTGCCTGTCAGAGTTTAATGGGAATTAATGCTTTGTGAAAGTTATAAAACTCTTGTGGAAAGGTTAAAGGAATGGTTCACTCCCAAAAATGAAAATTATGTTGTCATTTACTCAGCTAACTCGCCAGAAATGACAAAGCGGCACCATAAACGTAGTTCATGCAAACACGTTCATTAAATACCAAGTCTTCTGGAGCCTTACAATAGCTTTATGTGAGGAACAGATGGAATTTATTTACAAAGATTTTTCACTGAAAATGTTCTGCTTCATAGGTCTCGGATCTCATTTGCATTGACTAACAACTTAATCAACATGAAATCTATCTTTTTAAGTGCATTCTTGTTTAATAAGTCTTATTGTGATTGTCTTTATAATAAGAAATCAAAAATGCTCGACCTTTACTTCTCAAATTTTCCTTTCCAATAACTTGGCTGGCTTCTGGTCTGGCCTACTTTCCAAACTCCACATTTTTATTCTCGTTGATTATATTTACTCATAAATAAAGTTGTTTACAAGTCAAATGGGTTGCAAACATCATGTATCATCATTTTAGAGGGATAGTTTTTACAATTTTGTCATCATTTACTCACCCTCATGTCGTTCCAAATCTGCATGTATGACTTCCTTCCTTCTGTGAAACACAAAGGAAGATTTTTTAAAGAACATTGTGGACCAATCAACATTTACTTCCATCATGTGAACATTTCTCAATATGTCTTCTTTTATGCTCCACAGAAAATTGACGTACAATTTTGGAACAATATGAGGCTGAACAACATTTTCATTATTAGAATGAAATGAATTTATTCACACACAAACAAATATCATAATAATCTTTTAGACAACTTTAGAAGGCTTGAGTTGCTTTGACTAGTTTTATGGTACTTTTATACACTTCTTGGAGCTCAACATAGAAAATAATCATTTTATGGAAAAGAGCAGCAACATTCTGAATAACATCTCATTGTGTAACCGCAAGAGCACAAGGTGGGTTTTACACCTAACTTAGTTACCTGCAGTTGGATTTGCAGACGGTGGCCATCTTATCTTGCTGGTGTAGACTTGAAGGACCACCAGTATTTTGATACATTGACTACGTTTACATGCAGCCAATTTTCGGGTTATGGTTGGGTAAAGGTCGCTATTTGGGTTTCTGAAACATTAGGAATAACCCGTATACATGCGTGAGGAGACAGAGTTTCTCCTGTATGGAATTGCAATATCCCGATGTAACGTTAAATGGCGACGCGCGGTTAGCGTCTAGACCGTCATTTCCGTCATTGCGTCATTTCCGATTCTTCTTCCTGTATCCAAAGACAACAACAACAACAACAACAGCACGCGGAAAATGAATAGTTCAGGGCAGATTGCGATCACATTTGTTTGCGCTTTGACACTTGCAACGTAATGACCTCGCTACAAAAGTAGCTTCTGTGCTTGTGCCCGGTCTCGCCATGTTTACTTCCGGTATACTGCACGCGCGATTTTTGTATGCGCCGAGAAATTTCTCTACTCAAAAGACCAAGATTCCTTGCGAATAGAACAAAACAAATCACTATGGGGATATGCCGATACGCGTTTACATGACGAAAAATTCGGGTTAGAAAAGGAGTACCCCAGGTAGAATCATAGACAGTAAAAGAAAGGGTAGAATGGGCTGTATGCACGCATAAGTTCCGCATTGACGTAAGGATGCTCTTCAATTTCCGGTTGGGGAGATTAAAACGGAGGGAAAACGGGATTATGGCAGAGTCTTCAAAATGTACTGTCCTCCGGTCTTTGAAACGAAATTTTCATACGTTTAGATGTAATTTTATATCTATAGTTATGTTTATTTAATATAATTTTAAAAAGAACCAGAAACACAATGAGGGGTGTCTGTTTTGTCTGTTTTTGTGACTAACCATGGAGTATAAAATTCGATATAAATTCTCGGTATTGCGCTGGACTACGATCGGCGGAAGATATCGAGCATCCTTAGACCTTTACCGGATATACCGCCGTGCATATCCCGGTTTTTAAAATCTGAAATATGAGCTTATTCGGGGTTTTGCCGGTGTTTACATGGCCGTTTGCGACCGGGTTATTGCTAATATCCTGGTTTTGAATGGGTTATATTGCCTGCATGTAAACGTTGTTCAACGAGTAAAGCTGAAGTGAAGACTGTGAATAGTAGGTGTGAACCAAACATTTAAAGGAAGGAAAAAATGCTTTTCTTACCTTAGGGAAGGAGGTGATGTAGCTATAATGCTTCTAGATGACTTGTCCATGACCATCTCTGGTTTTCATAACAATCTTAAAGTATTACACCACTCAATTTATGAACAAAGCCCAACTGTTAGAAAAGATAACAAAAGCGGTCCACTGACAGAACCCTGTGGGATACTATTTTGTGGACAATGTTAAATCAACGTCGTCTTCTTTCTGTGACAGGTGCAACTATGCCACTGAAAACCTGGTAACCTTGTGTTGAACCCACAGAGGTACACAGATATGACAGCATCAACTAAAGCTTCCATCTTGAATCCTCTTCATCTGGAGCTGTTTGAATCGTAGCAGGAGGACAGAAATCCTTTGACAACAGAGGTAAATATAAGGCAAAGGATATAAAAAGACAAACCTTAAAAAAATCCCATGAACTATTGATGCAATCTTTTGTTTTTCGGGAATTTTTGCTCGTAGCATGTTGGCACCTCAGTTTCCTTTGCGCTTTTTTTTTTTTTTTTAAGAATTTTACTTCAATCCTCCTTTGTATCCGACATCTCTGGTGGGATTTGGTTAGCGAGAGTCACACTTTGATCATGTTTTCATTCATCCGCAGACAGAAACCAAGGAAAAGTCCTGTTAGAGTTTTGACATAAACATTATAATGAGGGTTTCACACATGGTTGAAAACATCCGGAAACATCTTTAGTATGAGTTCTTCACCAATTAATCTAACCTCAAAGAAACTCAAGTGCACTTTAGCACTTCCTTTCCCTCAAAGAATTATGGCTAGGAGGAGAACAGAAACAAGATGATGTAGGGAAATGAGAGAAACACCTTAATCATCTCCTCAATGGTGTTGTTTTTAGATAGGAACAAGCAGTATTCAATTCAAGCAACCATATATCAAACTTCATTTATAGCATTCATGGTTTGACAAGTGGGTTGCGAGTCATGCTTTTAAGATATAACCCGAGGCGTAAACCGTTACCAGTGCGGCGCTTTATAAATATATCTCATCCTCTTCAGTTTTAAATCACCTCCCTATCTGTACAGACTTATTAAAAACCCATTTCAAGCGGTCTTATCCTCGTCTGACCTCTAGCACCCTGCGTTGTCGTTTGGGCGGTGAGTGCACATTTACAGCTGCTGTGCGTCCCATTGATATTTCCCCCTCGGATCATCAAAACCCACGCTCTGTTCACAGCGGTGTAGGGTGACACTTCCCCACCGGGCTTGAAAGTCCATCTCAAGACCCTTTGAACTGAGCCTCTGGGTACAAGAAGGCAGGTAACGTTCATAATAGCTCCCTTGTGTGAGGCCGGTGGTCCCGACAGCCTGGGAATCGATTAAAAGCCATCAAGGCCCCCTCTTCCTCTCCTAGGCTGGCCTAGCGTCTCACCATGCAAGCTAATCCTCTAAGAATGCACAGGTAATTCAGAGGGGTCTATTGTTTTGGGGTTTTTGAAATACCATTTTTACCGCTCACTGTGCGTTGGGAGTATAGGCTGATCGTGCGCGTATAAACTGGAATTACATATTTTCCAAATGTGACCTTTCTTTGTTGTTGTTTTTTCTCTCAGGATTGTTCATTGTTGAGCTGTTTTGTTTGATCTACCTGAGAAAGCTCAAGTAGGCTATGGCATGGACACCCGTTCCCAGACCGACAGGCCCACTTGTTGTTGGAGGATTGGTCTCTTTGCCCCACCTGTGTTCGGAGAGAAAGCCCAAAAGGCCACAGGAAATTCTTAATATGAGACATGCATCCGGAAAAAAGTTAACTGGCTTAGTATAATGACCTCTCTGGAATATCTATATGATGTCTATTTATAAACTTGACAGTTCAAGCCACATTCAAAGCCATTGTAAATAAATATACCCCTGTGACATCATTGCATCAGTATTATTTCATACAGTATTATTATTATTATAACCAATTTATGAAAACAATAAGCTCAAGCACTAGCTCATGGGAATTTAAACAATGCTGTTCTAAATTCACTGTAATTCACAACTTATTGGGGTTATTGCTTTAATATACACATTTTATTTAGCAAGTATTGATCAAAGTTGACTGTAAAGACATGTATAATGTTACAAAAGTACTTTCATTTAAAATATTAAAATGTTCTTTTGAATCCTGAATAAATAGGATTCATGGATTCCACAAAATATTAAGCAACACAACTGTTTCCAACATTGATAATAATAAGAAATGTTACTTGAGCATCAGCATGTAAGGATCATGTGACACTGAAGACACCAGGGTGTTGCCAGGGTGATTTTGATTCAAAACAAATGGTTCATTAGAGTCATTTGTTTGTGAATCAGACTACACTGATCATGTTGTAGGTTGTAGAAAAGAATCAGTTCATAAGAGTCATTAGATCATGAGTTGAATCAGACCATAAGATCCATTCATTTGTGAATCGGCTAATCAATAAAATCTGTAAATCAGTTGACAGTAAATTAATTACCATTATTGAGAATAATACAAATCATTATTAATTATACTTTGGTCTGACTCTGAGATCTTATACAGTGATTTTTTTTCTCTCACACACATCATATAGCATTTACATTAGTTATGATAAGATGTGCAACAACAGGCTCTTCAGTAAATGCTGATAAAAGCTAACAGTTAACATTTGTTAGTTGCAGAATTATTTTCTAAAGCTAACAAACTCCACCAATCTTTCATTTTTGCTGTATTGTTTTTCACTTATCTTCTTATGATCTGTTCAAAGCCTGTTTGATGTCCAGAGTTTGGACCGAGGGGATCAGGTCAATAGCAGAATGCCCCAAACTTCAAGCTGTTTCTCTTGAAAACTTCATAGATGTTTCTTTAGACCTCTAGCTTTTGTTCACGACTCCAGCAACACCATTGTTCATGTGAATCTTGAATTTCTTCATTAGTATGAGTAAGAAAGCAGTCCTGACCTCTCTGTGGTGGCAGAGGAGAATGCCGTCTCCTCTCCAGGTTTCTGTCATTGTTATAAATATCTGTAATCAACGGCTCAGCTGGCTTTGTCAAACTCACTAATTGCTTTAAGAAACAAAAACACAAGTTTGGAGAAGTTTCCCAGAAGGTTGATTAACTTGTGCGGACGGTGTGCCTTTTTGGATGGCCATTAAAGTCAACATTTACTCTCTGAACACGTACCTAGTCTTATTTTGCACAAATAAGTAATAACTTATTTTTGTTGTTCTAAAGAAAAATGTATCTGTAATCTTTCGTCAAAGAGTTCAACTTAGATTTTAAAAAATATAAATAAACCACAATGCAAATAATCAGCCCTCTGAAGATTTCTTGGCATGTTTCTTCATGTTTTTCGCAAAATGCAGATGAACAGATGAGTGTTCAAATTTAAGCTTAAAAATGCATATCATGAAATTACATTAAACGAAACTGAATGCATATTGTGTATTGATATACAGACCTGGTAAATACTTGCTCCGCTTGTCACCCGATGTCACCTAGACAGTGCAGGAAGAACAAAATACATTTTAACCTACATATCAAAATAGCTAGGCATTATTTTAGTCTACTGTTGCAGCCTACATATACATTTATGCATTTGGCAAACACTTTTATCCACAGTGTTTTACATTACATATAAATCAATTCATGCACACATGACCTCGGTGTGGCTAGATCATGCACTGCTGTTTGAGCTGCAGAAATAGTGTTAAGTAATAGTTAACTTAATGCTGGTTAAATGTAATAATTGGGATTAGATTCAAAAAGCATTACCTTTGGAATACATCAAGATGCTCTTAAGGGCAAACTTCAGTCTCCACATTCCCAATGGATAAAATCAAGTCCATTTTGTCTTCTGATATGTTTCATTACAGTACATCACAATACTCAATAAGTCAAATCAGTTGTGAATGCATTTTCACACTGACTTTGAGAAAGAGGAAACATTCTATCAAAAAAAACAAAATCCATTTTTGTCCACATAAATGAAAAATGCTACATGTTGTAGGCTAGTTTAATGTAGTTACTTGAAAACTCTCCAAATTGTTCATCACTTGTTCAGCTATCAATACACCCATTATATAATGTTTATACAGGTATTACTTCGACATGCAATCCAAAAGCAAAGTAAACTTGCTTGGTGCCATTTCAGATAAAAGAAAAAGAGATCCAGCACTATTGATTTCAAAGTGGTTACTGTGGTATATAGTTTGCTCTCCGTGGTCGGAAGATCTGCTGCTAGTTTTTTTTTTCTTTTTTCTTTTTGTTCTCCGCTGTGGGAGCTTGACGACAAGATTGCATCAATAACAACAACAACAGCGTCATTTAGACCCTCCAAACAAAGCCTACACCTATAGCACCATGCATCTCTTGCGCTGTCCCACGGTTTCGCGGAGAACTTTGATGCCTCATTCGTTTTAATTTGGGGTCCTCGGGCAAAGGGAGACAATGTAATTGCCACATCGTTTCAAAGAGCGACGTGTGATCCAAAACCGTTCGAGAGACACAGACAGGGCAAATAGAGACGACTGCTTTCTGCACCAGACAGCCATGGATACTGTATATTCCCACTTTAATATCGCTCAGCTTTATTTTCGTCTTGTAGGAAGCCCTTGGAAAATCACCAAGGGCTACAATTATTCATTCTATGTATTTTTAGATGCTCTCCTGATAGGGGAGTAAACAGGACGGGCTGAGCGCTGATTAAAATATAGCCAAAAGTTGGCTCGCCTCAGGGGTTCGGGAAGGCAATAGACCATCTCTATCCGGCCAATTGGAGTGGACGCATATGAAATCCCGTTAGTGATGTGCATAGAGGGGAAGCCAGAGGGCCTCGCGTTACGTGACTGGAATGGGCCGACGTGCGAGTTAGTCAACTTTAGACAGTTGCAGAAAGCTCTTCTCTTCATTAGAGCTTGGTGGACATTTGAACAATTGGGAACTTGTCCAAAAACCCAAAGACACCATATTTGTCTTCGAGAATTACAAGTCTCTTCGAGAAAGTTTATTATCTATAGGCGCACTGAAGAGGAGTGAGATGAAGGAAAACTACTGCAATGAAAATGATGTATGGGACTTCAATTTGGGAGCTGAGCGATACATCACTCTCAAGCTGTGCTCCTCAAAGCTCTTTTAATGAAGTGCACGGAGAAATCACAGCCAGATTTAATAGATTCAGGAGGAAATAAGTCTTGCTGTCTTCACAAATATGAGGAAGCCTGATGTTGTTTTGTTGCTTGGTATTAGTCCGTAAAAAGAACTATTAAACAGGCAGCAGCAAGTGGCCGTCGAGCGTGGTTTCTTTCAACCCAGCATGCCGGAGTTGATTGATGCCGTGTCATTATTGGTTTGCGTTTGCTCAAGGTAAACTTCCAATTCTGCTTAAAACTGTAAGGATACATGCATGTCACATCTGTAACGGTTACCAGCTGGAGTGCCCTCTTTAGCCACCAGAGGGCACTCCAGATAAGACTATGTTTCACACAAACTACAGTTCCCAGAACTCACTGCCCGGACTCATCATCACTGATCACATTCACCTGTACCTCATTCACTATTGCATTCACCTGTCTCATCTTGTTAGTCTGGCTATATATACCATGTTCATTCAGTCACTCACCGCGAAGTCTTGTTTAAGTGTTACACTGCATTTCTGAGCGTTTTCCGTGTTTGTTTTCTGGTTTTTGACGTTGGATTGTTCTTGGATTTTGATTACTGCTGCCTGCCCTGACCTCTGCCTGTTTCCCGGATTCCCACTGTGTATTCTCCATTGTCCTGTCTGCTAATTCTCGACCCTGCCTGTACGACTAATCTTAAATATAGCTGCATTTGGATCTTCATCTAAAAGCCTCAGAGCAGTTCATAACAGAGACTTCGCCACACCGAGATCCAGCAGCCATGCCAACAAGAAGCCCAGACGTCCAGATCTTGCGTCTCCGTCAGGAGAATCGGTCCGTCGAGGACTATGTTTCTGAGTTCATTGAACTGGCCCATTTCGCCTCAATGAGCACAGAGTGTTTAATGATCTTTTTCCGAGGAGGACTCTCTGAACCACTCAGTTCACTCATGCCCTTACACAATCGTCACGGGACATTAGAGGACTATATTAACCAGGCCCTTTTGCTAAGCGGTTCCTTGTTTACTGTGGGCGTTGTAGAGAAGGAGCTCCATGAACCCGTGGTATCTACTCAACCAGAGCTTCACGTTATGCCAGAGCTTCATGCCGAGCCCGCGCTCACCGTCAGCCCTGCCGAGCCCGCGCTTACCGTCAGCCCTGCCGAGCCTGCGCTCACCTTCCAGCCAGAGTCTCGTCCCGCCGAGACAGCCCAGCCAGAGTCTCGTCCCGCCGAGACAGCCCAGCCAGAGTCTCGTCCCGCCGAGACAGCCCAGCCAGAGTCTCGTCCCGCCGAGACAGCCCAGCCAGAGTCTCGTCCCGCCGAGACAGCCCAGCCAGAGTCTCGTCCCGCCGAGACAGCCCAGCCAGAGTCTCGTCCCGCCGAGACAGCCCAGCCAGAGTCTCGTCCCGCCGAGACAGCCCAGCCAGAGTCTCGTCCCGCCGAGACAGCCCAGCCAGAGTTCCATGTCAGCCCTGCCGAGCCAGAGACGCTCCACGTCACTTCTGCGAGCCAGAGACGCTCCACGCCACTTCTGCCGAGCCAGGGACGCTCCACGTCACTTCTGCCGAGCCAGAGACGCTCCACGTCACTTCTGCCGAGCCAGAGATGCTTCACGTCATTTCTTCCAAGCCAGTGTCTAAAGACAAGATGGCTGATTCAGAGACTGTTCAAATCACTTCTGCTGATCCAGATTCTGTTCACGTCACCGCCTTCGAGCCAGTGTCTCCGGACAAGATGGCCGCCTCCGAGCCAGTGTC